CACCCCACACAGCTCCTGTAGGCTCTCCCTGGCTGCTGGCACCCTGCAGTCCCTCTGTCCCACACCCTGGCACCTTCCAGCCTCCCAAGCCCTCCTGATTTTGCCATTTGGAGCGGCGGGCAGGCTCCAATGTGTTCCTCATTAGGAGGGGCAGACAGCCCAGCCAGTCTGAGCCCTAATCTCCTTTCCAGTTGGTGTCCCTCAGCAGATGTACAACAAGTGCTGGGATATTTTAGTGGGCATGTGTAGGACTGAGCCACTGGGTTTTTTTTTTCCAGCCAGTGGGGATGGATAAAATGCTGTGGCTCCAGGCTGTGATGGACAGCAGGTCCAGGGAAGGCAGCTCTGCTGTGGTTTATTTTACCAAGGGCTTTGCTGGAAGAAGTGGTGATGAAGTTAACAGCCTGCAAGCCATAATTGGCTCACATTAAAGTAAGGAAATGATATGTTTTGTTTTCCTCTTTTTTTTTTTTTTTAATCATATTAAACAGGCAAAACCCACACAGAGCCAAAGAAGGAGCAGGCAGCAGCTCTCAGGAATTTAAGGGGGGAGATTTTTTGTCCCAAGTGTAAAGAAATCCAGTCCTTTCCATCAAAGAAAAAATAATTTCAGCTTCAAAATACCCAGCAGAAGTGGGCAAGGGAAGGGGAAGCCAAAAAATTCAGGTTGTGGCATCACAACAGGCACTGCTCCAAAGCCTGGCCCAGCAGCTCCAAAGGGACACAGTAAAAAAAAAGGTGTACTTAAAATTCTTCTTCAAATAATTTTATTTATCCTGCCACCTGCAAGCAAACACAGAGTGTCATAAACCTTGCTGGTGCCTCTGGATGTGCAGGGTATTTCCTGCAATTTTTTAAATTCAATTTTTAGCCCCTGTGGCTGCATCCTGATGTATGGCAATGGCAGAATCCTCATCCCAAGGTCACCATCAGCCTCTCAGGCCTGCCCTGGAGACATCCCTGCAGGGATCCCCTTGGATGTGCAGCCCTGTGCTCACCAAGTTCTCACCCAGCACCCAAACCCTGTCCTGGCTCAGCACCAGGGCACTGAGAGCCACCAGGGCCCAGCCCAGCTGGAGCAGCCACATCCCAGCACTGGATTTTGGGGGAAATCCAACAGCTCAGCATCCCTGGGGACAGCCAGCCCTGCGTTTGTCACTGCACAGGTGACCCCACCACAGCATCCAGGCAAGGCAGGACAGATCCAAGGGGTGCAAGAACATCCAGGGAGCCACCACAGCCCTGGGGACATTCAGGATCCACAAGAGCGTCCTGCTCTGACACTGCTCACACCCAAAGCTGCCACAGAAGTCACAGTGAGTGACAAAGTCATCACAACAAAGTCACCACATGGCACAGGAAGGGCTGGAAACCCAGAACCTTTCTGCACGTCCCCTTTTCAGACACTTTCCCAGTTTCACTTGTACCCACAGCCAGTGGAATTTGTGGGTTGTGGGATTTCATGTGATGTCAAAAAAAGTCCGCCAAGCAGGTTAAAATATCCCACTTTTGGTGCATTCCCCACCCACTGAAGGGCACACACACATCTTCCAGCTCATCCCAGCTCCTCAGGTGGCCAGGTTGGAAGTGGGACACTAAAACCCCTCACTCCAAGCATGGGGACATGAACAACCCTTCCATTTGCATGGCAGCAAGGAAACCCCTCAAATTCAGCCATTTCCCAACTTATAAACAACAAAAAAACCCAAGATAACCTCAATGGGAAATTCTAACTTTGTTTGGAAATGTCATTTCCAAATGGCACATGAGAAATCACACTCGGACCCGGCCCTGCTGACAGGCAAATATTTATCCCCACAAAATTTCCACATAAACCCATCACTTTTGTCAGTAGGTCTGGACACTGGGAGCAGAGTGGGAAGGCAGGGAAAGGGAAGCCAGGAGGCACAGGGAGCACCAGCCCTGCCCAGCAGGTCTGAACCACAGCGATCACTCAGATCACTGCAAGCTCCTCCAGCCTCATTCCGAGGCAAGGTGCAGCTTTTTCCAATGCATTCACAGCAAAGATTTAATAGGATTTCCAAGCTATTTGCACCTTTTTTCCAATACATGCAGCCCATGCCAGCCTCCCTTCCCAAAACCTGCAGCACTCCATCACTCAGCCCCGTGTTGGAGCGGGGAGGATCCTGTCCCACACACATTTCTCAGTCTATCAGGCAGAGTTATTCCTCTGCTCTGTGCTTGGATACTCACAAAGCCATTACCATCCCTCTCATGCACATCCATCATCAGGCCTTCAAACTCCAGAAAGCCCCAAAAAAACTTATTTTCCACTCACCATGCAGCCTGCCAGGCTCTGCTCTTCTACTCTGCGTTCCTTCATCCATCGAGAGACGTTTCAGCAAGTTCAGAGTCCGACCAAATAAACAGATGGCAGCCTGAAAGGTGGTGATTTTCTGCTCTGAGGGGGGAGTGGGGTGAGGGATTCAGCCAGGGAAGAGCTGAGCTCTGTCTGCCTGGTTGGAAAGGCTACCCTTGGTTCCAAGGATGATGCCCACAGGGAGCTGGGGGTGCAGGAATTATTTTCCAAAGCTGTGGGGTTTTGGAAAGCTGAGGGAGGAGCAGCTGGAGCTGGGAGTCCCCCATTTGCACCTCCCAGGGGTGTATCCAACACTAGGCCAGACCCCAGCGAGCACCCACCTTCACCCCACGTGTCCCCAGCAGCCACCAGCCACCTCCTGCATGGCTCTGCCAACCCAGCACACGCTGATGTGCAAGGAAATAATTCATCATTTCACCTCTGCACCACCCTGCTGGCTCCTCAACAGGAACCACACTCCCCAAAAATCACCCACAAAGCAGCACCACACTGCAAAACTCCAGCTCTGCTCCAGCCTCAGGATGGGGGGATGCAGAGAGGACCATCCTTGCCCCAGCCCTGGGGCTGCCCCAACCCAGCACAGACACCAGGCATTCCTCCATCCTGGTCCAGCACTCACCAGCTCAGACTCACAGCAAGATTTATGAAAGGATGTGGCCAGATGAGCGATAGAGATGGATAGCCCTGAGGAGTGACTGATTTCTCCCTTACAAGAGGGATAGAAATTAATTTATGAATTGGGTTCATTGAGTTGCCAAGTGGCTTTGATGCTGGTTATTTTTTTGCATATGTTCGTGATCTATCTCCCAGCTGTTGGGGGGGGAGGAAGGTCCTGGGGAGCTGGAGCAATGCATCACTGAGCCGAGGCAGCCAACAGCTCTCAACAAAACCAGATTGCCCTTTAATCAGCCAGGGGCTGCTCTGCTTTCCCCAAGTGGGCACCTCAGCCCTCCCCTGTCCACCCTGGAGCTGGTATTGGCTGCAGACAGCAGGAGCCACTGCCGTGTGAGGATGGCCAAGCACAGCCCACCAGAGACAGCCCTGCCACTGAGTCTGCTCTCACCTCACCCACCCCTTTCTGGCTTGGAGGGACCCACAGCCGGTCAGGGAGATCTGGGGCAAGGTGGTGGATCCTTTATTCCATACCAAAAATGCACTTTTATTAAAAAAAAAAAAAAACACTGAGCAGAGGGAGGATGTGGTGCAAGTTGTTCCACCACGCTCGAGGGACTCCTTCCCTCAGGGGACACTCAGGGACAGAGCAGCCAGGAGCTGAGCCCCGAGCCAAGAGCAGCACAGACAGCAGCTCCCCTTCCCAGAGTTACAGGTGCTTGGAGGGTTTTCAAGACACAAAGTAATTTCCTGCTTGAAGCAGTTGACAAATCTGCACAGAAACTGGAGAACCCTCTGTGTTTCAGGGATGGATGCTGCAAAATCATGAAGTGGAAGCCAGCCCAAATTCATGGAGCAAAGTGCAAGCGAGGGAGGAAACTGCTGGTGCCTGCTGATGGAAGGGCACAGGGACCAGCCCCAGGTCTGTTGTGACCTCCCTGCTCAGACCAACAAAGAGCTGTAAATTTTTTGGATGAGCTGTCCTGCCCACCCCTCTGTCCCCCCAGTCCATGACCTTTCTTCCTTTGGGGAAATCAGAGCCCCGAGTGCCTGAGTCAGCTGTAAATCCCCTGCAGGATCAGACAGACAAGGCAGCTCTGGGTGGCTGCGGAAGCAGAACCAGCTTGCACAGAACAGACACAGCAGTTCCTGAGGTGTCACTGCACCCCCAACATGGGCTTGGGGTGCAGAAACCATCCATGTCTTCCAAAAAGCACCAGGGGCCAAGGGGAATGATGGAAACAAGAGCAGCACTTTGGTAGTTTGGGGAAATAGAGCTTTTGCTAATTAAATCCAAGTGTTTTTGTGTTCAGAGCTAGCAAGACACAGATAAAGCCCTTTGGACCTGCAGATGTCCCAGCACAACAGGGTCTCCACAAAGCCCTGAGGGGAGCAGGGTGAGAGGGAAAATCCACCCATGGGCAGCCTGGGCCCACCCATTGTGGCAGAGATGCTGCTCTCCATTTCCATCCTCATCACTGCCCTTCATCCCCATCCCCTGCTCCTGTGCCCATCCCTTGTTCACCTCCCTCTGCTTTCCTCTCCTGCCTCTTCCCCACCTCTGTTCCACACTGGAAACCCTTTCCTAGGGTGGCTCTGGGGGCTCCCCCAGATGGAATTTTCCCCTGTAAACAGAGGCAGCACTGGGCCGGTCTGACTGGTACCAGTTCCTCAGTGGGAGAGGCATGGCCTTAGCAAACGGAGATGTTTCTGCTGGTGAATCCAGCTCTGTGAGGACCATCCCTGCAGTGGGAGGGGTTGATGTCTGTGGGGCTGGGCAGGGTGAAGACTGCAGGGCATCTCTGTCACCATCACTGTCACCATCACTGTCACCCCTGGCTCTCCTCCTGCTGGTTTTCCGGCCCCCCCAGTTTCCTGCTGAGGGGCAGCAGGGTGTAAGCCCACGAGGCACAGATTTCTGTGATTAGGCAACGCCAGGCAGCCTCTCCCCTTTCATTTTCAGTGCCTCTTCTTCCTCTTCCCCTGGGCAGCCCCAGCATCCGCCCCAAGAGCAGCAGCAGCAGCAGCAGCAGAGCCCTGCACAGCCATGGAGAGCAGGGACCGAGAGCCCCTGGTGAGGAAAACGCGCTCCTCATACCACACCTTCCCCGAGGGCACTGCCAGGAGGCTCGACAAGGAGTACCTGAGGTGAGGAGCAAGGTGGGCAGAGGTTGGGCTGTGCCCCCCATCCCGAGGGCAGTGGGCTGGGGGAGCTGGAGGAAGAGCTGTTCCAAATTCCTGCCATTGCTTTGGGATGGGATCCCATCCTGCCCAAGGTGGCTGGAGGAGCCCACTTGGAAGCCTGATGGGTTTGTGTGATTCTTTTGGGGGCAAGAGGTCCTGTTGAGGGCACAGGGGCTTTGCAAGAACTTTTTCCTTGCTCTGCTGGGATGAACCAGCTGCCACTGGGTCCGTGGTGCCACCCAGCTCCAGCCTCTGCTTTTCTCACTTTGTTGAACCCCCTGAAAACTGCCTGGCACAGAGAGAAGCTGTAGCACAGAGAAACCCCACCAGCCTGGGGCTGTGCAGAGCCATTCCCCAGGAAAATCCCTCCGTGGCTGTCACCAGAGGCTGGGGGAAGCAGGGTTTGAGTTTCTGCTGGCACCCAACAGGTCCTTGTCCCTCTGTGCCTCCCCCAGGAGCCTCCACAACAAGCGGCTCTACCTGGCTGTGTTTGCCGCTGTCCTGGGCAACTTCAGCTTCGGCTTCGCCCTGGTTTATCCCTCCCCAGTCATCCCTGCCCTGGAGGCTCATCCCAGCCCTGCGCTGAGGCTGGACCAGCACACAGCGCCCTGGTTCGGGGTAAGGAGGGGGGTTATCCCGGCCAGGGTGCGGGCAGAGCCAGGGATGCCCGGGGGGATGCCAGGCTCACACAGGAGGGGTCATAAGGAGCTGGGGATCAGGATGGGGCAGTGCCAGGGATGGCCGGAGGGATGCCAGGCTCACACAGAAGGGGTTATAAGGAGCTGAGGGCAGGATGGGGCAGTGCCAGGGATGCCCGGGGGGATGCCAGGCTCACCCAGTCCCTCTCTCCACATGCCCCACAGTCGGTGTTCACGCTGGGAGCGGCGGCGGGCGGGCTCAGCACGATGCTGCTCAACGACTGCTTGGGCCGCAAGCTGAGCATCATGTTCTCGGCTCTGCCCTCGGCGCTGGGGTACGCGCTGCTGGCCGGAGCCCAGGGCCTCTGGATGCTGCTGCTGGGCCGGGTGCTGACGGGCTACGCCGGCGGAGTGACCTCTGCTTCCATCCCGGTAATGTGCCAGGGGAATGCGGGGCAGAAGGGGCTGTAGATGGGCAGGGGAATGCAGGGCAGGAGGGTTGGATGGGCAGGGGGATGCAGGGCAGGAGGTGCTGTAGATGGGCAGGGGGATGCTGTGGATGGGCAGGGGGATGCAGGGCAGGAGGTGCTGTAGATGGGCAGGGGGATGCTGTGGATGGGCAGGGGGATGCAGGGCAGGAGGTGCTGTAGATGAGCAGGGGATGCTGTGGATGGGCAGGGGGATGCAGGGCAGGAGGTGCTGTGGATGGGCTGGGGGTGCTGTGGGTGGGCTGTGGGTTGCAGGGCAGCAGGTGCTGTGGTGCCCTGGATGACCCCGAGGGATGATGCTGGGGCACCCCCGCTGCTTTTTGAAGGCACCTGCAGAGCCCCAGAGCTGTGTCTGGGCGAGTGGGGATGGGGAGGATGCAGCACCAGGGCTGGGGAGGGTGTACCCGCTGTTGGTGCTGGATTTCCTCGCCCGCAGGAAAGACAAGGCAGGTCCTCAGCCCCTGCTCCTCCCAGCAGTTATTTCCTCCCGAACAGCAGGCTCATGTTTCACACAGAGGGGAAGGCAGGGGTTGAGTAACACCAGGGCACCTCTTTCCAGTAACGGAGCCACTGGAGCACTTCTCCCACACCGGGGGAAGGAGGGAAGCAGTGCTGCCGGCCAGGCTGCCCCTCCTCTGGCCAGAAGCAGCAGAACCCATCAAGTCCCCACCCTCAGAGGGCAATTCCCCAGCAATTTGGGTTTCCTCTGGTCACAGGGTGTGACAGTGAGGTGACAGAGGGCAAGAGCAGTGGGTGACAAGGGGATGTTGCAGCTCTGTGAAGTGTGTGCTGTCCCTGTGCAGGTTTACATCTCGGAGATCTCCCACCCGGGGGTCAGGGGGATGCTGGGTGCCTGTCCCCAGATCATGGCAGTGCTGGGCTCCCTCGTCCTGTACGCTCTGGGTAAGTATCTCAGTGGTGTTCCAGTGGCCAGGGCAACACTGTGGGGAGGGGGAGCTTAAAATAAACAACCTTCTCAGCAGGTGAGGGCTTGTTCCCCTTGTACCCACCAGCACAGCTGTGCTGAGGGGGCTGGACAGGTCATTCATGCCCCTTACCCTGGTGTGTGTGCCCTGAGGGATGAATCCATAGCCCATGTGCACCTGTGGCCATCACTGTGCCCACAGATCCAGGTCCTGAGATTTTGCCAGGGCTCAAGGGCAGCACACAATGATATCCCTGTGCATCATCTGCCAGCACATGCCCTGGTTGTGGCAGGATCTTGCTGGATACTCTCAGATTTGCTGGAATTTCCCCATATGATACTGCTGGAAATGCTGCTGTAACAGGAGCGAATGCATTCAAAATATATTTTTTGTTATTACTGTTTTTCCTGCTGTGTTTATTAAATGAAATCATTGGGGTGCTCAGGTGGAGGCAAGGCCAGGACACCCATTCCTGAATGGTTTTCCCCTAACTGTGCTGCTCTGGCAGGGCTGGTCCTGGACTGGCGCTGGCTGGCCGTGGCCGGGGAGGTGCCGGTGCTTGCCATGGTCCTCCTGCTCTGCTTCATGCCCAACTCGCCCCGGTTCCTGCTCTCCCAGGGCAAGGAGGAGGAGGCCCTGGGCTCCCTGTGCTGGCTGAGGGGTCAGGACACAGATTATGCCCGGGAGTACGAGCAGATCAAGGACAGCGTGAGGAAGCAGGTGAGGAAGTTCTGCATGAGCAGAAATAACATGAAAACTGCAAAATCCATCCCCTGAGCAACTCCTGAGCCACCCTCTGGATGCCACATGGCTCCCAGAGGTTCTCACTTTGTGTTTCTGCCTTTGTGCCCCTCAGAGCCGTCGGGTTTCCTGTGCTGAGCTCAAGGACCCCTTTCTTTACAAGCCCATCCTGATTTCAGGGCTGATGAGGTTCCTGCAGCAGCTCTCAGGGGTCACCTGCATCCTCGTGTACCTGCAGCCAATATTCAAGAAAACATCTGTCATCCTGGTGAGCCCTGGGTTTCAGCTCCTGCTCAGGCTGCCTGGGCCTTCAGTGAGGGTTGCCCAATGCTCCCACTTTCCTACAGACATAAAACCCTTTTTTCAAAGGATCTGCCCTGCAAAAGGCTGAGGGAGGATGGGGAGCAGGACTGGCCCCACTGTGTCCCTGCTCCTCCTCTGAGTTCAGGCTCATCATCTCCAGTCTCCTACTGGGGGAACAGCCTTGGCCAAGCCCTCAGCAGCTGTAGGCACTTGTCCCTTTCCTCAGCTCAACTTCCCCATGGGTTTTTTGCAGAAAGCAGAGTATGATGCAGCTCTGGTCGGCCTGGTGCGTCTGTCCGCGGTGGTCATCGCTGCTGTGTCCATGGACAAAGCTGGCAGGAAGATTCTCCTGTTTGTATCAGGTATGGCTCTCTCCACTTCTGCCACTGTGTTCCCAAGGAAAGCTCCTATTGAAGGATTTTCAGGAGCTCTGCAAGTGTGCAGAAGTGGAAATTTCAGCCCTACAGGGCTCAGGAAGGGAGGCAGGGAGGTCTTTTTCCCTTGGTGGTGCTTCAGCTCCTCAGCAGAGGCATTCCCAGGAGAGGAAGCACTCACCCCTCATTCTCACTGTGCTGCTGCCTCTCTCCACAGCTGGTGTCATGTTGGTCTCCAACCTGACCATGGGACTCTACATCTACTTTGAGCCAGCTTGTGCACACAACGGCACCGTGGCCAACACCACCCTGGCGAGCTCTGCCAACCTCCCTGCTGAGCCAACAAACTACATCACCCTCATCCCCCTCCTGGCAACCATGTTCTTCATCATGGGTAGGTGCAGAGAGCTACAGGACTGGCCACCAGCCAGGGGAGGGTGTTTCTCATCCACGGCAGGGTGATGTGGAGCCAGGAGATTGGGGTTGGAGGGGGAAGGAAGGCAGATGTCCCTGGAAGAGCAAGAAAGGTGGCATGAGGAATGACATGAATGGGAGGCATAATGATTGCTCAGGGTTCTTCTGCACTCCTCAGTGATCTTCAAGGCCTGACCCCCTCTTCTTCGCCCCTGCAGGTTATGCCATGGGCTGGGGCCCCATCACTTGGCTGCTGATGTCAGAGATTCTCCCTCTCAAAGCCCGTGGGGTCGCCTCAGGCCTCTGTGTGCTTGTGAGCTGGCTGACAGCCTTCACCCTGACCCAGTTCTTCCTCCCAGTCGTGGTGGGTACTGCCTGGGGGTGTCCAGCAGCCCCTCCCAGCCCCTCTCTGCACCAGCTCACAGCTGCTTTCTGCTCCTTTCCAGAACGCCTTCGGCCTCGAGGTGCCTTTCCTGTTCTTCGCTGTCATCAATGCTGGGAACATCTTATTCACTGGCTGCTGTGTCCCTGAAACCAAAGGCAGGTCCCTGGAGCAGATTGAGGCCTTTTTCAGGACTGGCAGGAGGTCCTTCCTGAGGTAGGAGGTGCCCTCGCCCAGGCTGAGGGCGAAGCAAACTTGTGCTGCTGGAAGTGGAGGCTGGAGCTCCCTGTGGGACAGGAAGGGACAGCAATGATCACCTTGCTCTGGCTGTAGAAGCTGCCAGCTGGAACTTTACCTTCTCCTCCTGTCAACCCTTGGGATGGGAGCAGGTCACCAGCAGGGCCAGGCTGGAGATGAAGGTGTCCTGGAAGAATAAGAGTGTGAGCAGGAGACTGTGGTTGCCCTTTCATCAGCAGCCTGACAGTCTGAGGGCTTGGCTGGAGCTGAGTTTACAGCAAAAGCTCATCATGTAGCTGCAAGAATAAAACAGTTTTGCCTCCAACTGCAGGACATTGCCTTGATTTGCAGAGAAGGGAGGGATGGGAGAGGCAGAGCAGGACTGAGGCAAGGGGAGCACAGCAGCCTGCAGCTCCCCAGAGCAGTGTCAGGCACTCAAGGACTGTGAAAGAGGCAGAGACAGATCATTTGTATAAAAAGCTGCCACATTTTATTGCTCTAAAAACACACACTACACTAGAAGCCTAATGAACAAGACCAAATACAGTTCACAAAGAAAACCCAGGACAAAAGAGTGGGAACAGACAAACATCCAGCTGTAGTGCAAGTGATTCCCTGTGGGAAAGACACAGTGAGTACTGACAACACTTTGTGCTGGGGTGAGTCCTTCCCACCACACAAAGAGGGAGGTGGATGTGCCTCCACCTCCATCACTTTGAGATTTCAACTGCATAGTTAGTAGCAAATCAGTCTTACCCCTTTCCTGTGTGTCCTGCAAGATTAAGAATCTTTTATAATTATTTTTTAGAGCTAACCCGAGGTAAAACACTGCTGCAGGAGGTGGTTATGGCTGTGAGGAACAAATGGCCTTGCTCAGTCCAGCCTGACTCCTCCCAAAAGGGCAGAGGCACAAGGCTGAGCTGGGACAGGATGTGCCCAAGCATTTGTCCAAGATCTTGAAATGCACTTGGCACCCCAAGGGCTATTCCTGGGACATTCAGCCGGCTGTCCTGAGGAAGCAGGGGGTAAAACAGCATGTTTGAGCCAGCCCTCCAGATGTGCCAGCTGCCATTCTGATCTCCTGCAGCAGGAGATGAGAAATCACCTAGGAGAAGATGTGCTTTATCACAGCATTAATTTAAAACAGCTTAGGACAGAGGGAGAGTGGTGGGCCAAAATAAAAAACACAGAAAACATTCAGTATTAAGCCTACCTTTTGCTGCTGAGACCCTTTTCCAGAAAGATGTTCAGCCCTGGCTGGAACACAACTTTTTCTAAGCATGGCCTGACTACAAGAGGTCTCAAGAGCCTCTGGTTTCCACTGACTTTCTGAAGATCAGGATTTCTGGCAGCCCTGAGCTCGAGCATTCTCTTTCTCACATGGCTAGGGACCAGCTCTTGATACCTTCACTTCAGTGAAACCCTTCCCTGAAGACAGTGGATGTTTTTTCCTGAGGAAAAAAATGACAGAGATGAATTGAGCTTCCCAGGGCTCAGCCTAAGGAGGAAATGCCCCACTAAGAAATGAGGTTGGACTCCAGCTCCTGAGAGAACCCCACTGGAGGAGCATTTTCTGAGTGACCTCCTTCCTCCAGCACAGCGAGCCCCAGGGCTTTTGCTACAACATTTGGAGTGTGAGAAATCACAGTGGCTCTTTCCAGAGGTAGAATGGTGTTTTCATTCACTGCACACACAGAGAATCGATGGGTGTTACAGAGCAGCGAGCTCTGCCCTGCTCTTCACACCCCATGGGACACAGAGCTGCCACACATGAGTGGCAGAGGCATGGAAGAGTGGCACAGTGCACAAACCTGCCTTGGTGACTGGTGTGTGACAGGCCACTGCTCCCCAGGGGTCCTTCCAGCTCTGTCCTCAGCGTGTCACCCCCTGAGCCCTCACACCATCTCCTTTCCAAGGCCTGGAGAGCAGACCCTGCCCCACAGAGCCCCTCTGGATCCGCCATCCCTTCTGGATGCCCTCAGCAGGGGTTGGGTTGAGCCTGTGAAACCTCCAGAGCAGGGTTTGAACCTCATTTGTCCTCACACAGCTCCAAGCACCCCACGGATGCCTCTAAACACACCTAACAAGCACCATGCACTGGCATTAACTACTGGGATGCTACTCTACTCTAAAGCTCCTTCCTATCTCCACCAAACAGGCCCACATGGGGGTGAGACCATCCACTGATGTCACTACAGCTCTTACAAGCCAGGGTGCTGTCACCAACCCTGTCTGGCAGCGTCTGGCTTGGTTCCTGCTGCAGCAGACAGCCAAAATTCCCAAGGGTTCCCACTCCAGACAGGACCCTGTAGGAGTCACCACCCTTGGAATACGGATCTGAGACACCTCCAGTGGAGGCAGCACAGACACTTCAAGCACTGTGGCCAAAGGCTCCAGCCCAGCTCACTCAGGGGAGTCCTTGAGGCCCATTTTCAGCTCACTGAGCTTTGCCACCCTCTCATGGTGGCAGATTGATGCACATTTCTCCCTTGCCTCAGCCCCAGGGCCACACCCTGCTGCCACAGAACACTGTGACAGCACTGCTGGGTCTCCTGCCTCAGTGCCAAGGAGCAGAGTGGGCCCTGCGGGTGCCCTGGAGCAGCACCCACCTGCCCCAGCCACAGGGACCATGCAAGAGGAGAGGCAGATGAGAGTCCCACCAGCTCTGTGCTCCCTCAGAGCACCCTGGAAATCTCAGCCCTTGAGCTCTGCTTTGCCTTTGGCCTCCTGACACTAAAGCTACTGCAGAACTACTCACAGAGCAAAGCTGCCACTACCAGAGACATTGACATGCATCAGTCTGCAACATTCCTCTACTAAACACTACAGAACTCCCCACACCCCCCTGAAATCAAAGCCTGTGCCCATTCCTGAGGCAGGGCTCTGCCCTTGCTGCACCCAGAAGATTTTCCCTCAGGAATACCCCCCATTCCTCCTCCATGGCACCAGGGATCAGCCAAGGGCTGGGGGCTCCAAACCAGCACAGCTTTGAGGGAAAAAACCTTCCTTTATGGAAAAAATCCAGGCTGGGGGTGCCTGCTCTGCACCCCAGACAAGGGGTGTTGGAGCAATCCCAGTTCAAAGGTGGGGGGGAAGGGGCTTTGCACAAAAAGGGTGCCCACATCCAGGAAATCCTGGAATCCTCACAGCTCTGAGCTCCAGGGAAGAAGCAGCAGCTCACAGGAGCCAGCAGCTTGAGGAAGGGCAGGGCTTGAGGAGAGTTTTCAGCACGGACAGACCCCTCTGACAGACAGACAGCACTGAGCCTCCAGCAGCATTTCTCAGAGCACAGCACAAGCCCTCTGTACCCAAGGATTCAAACTGGGACACACAGTGCTGGTGGCTCTCCCAGTCCAGCAGTTACAGCCCAGTTTTCCTCCTTCTCTCTCCCAGAAGAAGGGGAAAACACAGTTTGTCAAGTTTGTGGCCCAGAAGACAACAAAGGGGTCAAAGGACAACACACTTTTTTTGAAGAATCTGAGAAACACTCTGAAGGCTGAAATTGGATTTTGCAGCAGCCAGGGCTGTCCCTGGGTTCAGAGATCTCTGGTGAAATGAGGCAGCCCTGTGAAGGACAGAAAACAGAGCACTCCTTTCTCCTATATCCAGAGAAAATGAGTCCCATTAAAGTACTTAAATAACTAGAAATAAATTATTCCCCTTTTTCCTAATCAAAACAAAAAGCAACCATATAAAAATCAAATAAATTAAAATCCCCAGGACAAACTGGGATGAGAAGAGGGGGATCTGGACTTAGTGAGCAGTTTTGTACTGCATGGTACAAAGCAAACAGAAAATACAATGTGAAAACCACAGAAAGAGCCTGGAATAGCAAAGTAAAACATCCCAGCTGTCCACACTGAAATGGTGCAGCCTTCTCTCTGTTTGCACAGGGAAGTTGTGCCACCTTCCCATACAAAACCAGCTCAGGATTGATGCAAAAACCACAATCCCAAAGACCAGGCAAGCAGAGCAGGTCCCTTCACAGAGGGATGCAGAGTCCCAGGCTCACAAGGCAGGAATGCTCCTGCTCATCAGTGACCCTCACACCAGCAAAAAATCCCACTTGGCTCAAGAAACAACATCCTTTTCAGCTGAGGTACAGCAAATATTGTTTCCCTTCTGCCCCAGTAGAAGAGTGAAGCTTAAGAAAAGTGCCCTTATTAAGACAAAGTAATTAATTCTTATAATTCAAGTAAATGGTAGTCACTGCCTGTAGTTGTATCCAGAGGAAGCAGGGACTGTGCTTTGGAGGCCCCAGGATCTGCCCAGCAGCTCTGGCAGCTCCCTTGAAGAGATGGATTTTATCTTTAGATGAGTTTTTCTGGAAATCCTTTCCTGTGCAGCGATGCCTCCAGTGCCTGGTCCCATAATTAAAACAGTGGAAGAAGACCAAGGTTAAGCACCAGGGGGTTTTAGGTGTTGTACCTGGGAAGGGCCATCCCAGGGAGTGTTCCTAACACATGGAACCTGCACTGGCAGGTCCTCTGTCCCTCCTCACCCATCCACAGGGCAGTCCAGGAAAAAAATAAAAGGTTGTGAAAGTTGTGAAAGCAGCACTCAGAGAGCCAGCATCTCTGCAGCAAAAAGAAAAGAAAATATTAAAAAATAGGGGCACTGTTTGGGTTGAGAGCTGAGGAGAGAAGGAGAGACGTGCTGAGGTCTGGCTGCTGGTGTGAGGAGAGGACACAGCCTGCCCCAGCCCCTGAGATTCCCACTTGCTGCAGTGTCCAGGGACATCGTGGTGTAGCAGGGCACCGAGAGGACAGAGGGAAGGGCACAGCAGATTTCCACATCTTCACCATGTCCAGGAGATGCCACCCAGAGCTCGTGTCCTTCAGAGAGCCTGTCCCTCCAGGCTCCCCGTCAGCTTCTCTTCATCCATCTGCTTCTGCTGCTGGTGGATGCGGGCGTAGGAGATGGCATCTCCCCTGTGGGGACAAGGGACAGTGTGGGCATGGCAGGGACTGTCCCAGCTGGGGCTGCCTCTCCGTGCCAAGGGATTCCAGGGGTCAAACTACACTTGCTGGCCCTCCCCAACCCCCAAAGCTGGGCCCATCCACCCAACAGCTACAGACAGAAGAGTGGGACGCTCAGAACCCCCAAAACTCAGAGCTTCAGCAGCCGCCAGAACCTCCCCACACAGGGCACAAGGGTGGGACTCTCAGAACCCACAAAACTCAGAGCTTCAGCAGCCCCCATGACCTCCCCTCACAGGGCCCTGAGGTGACGGAGATTTTCTCTGCCATGAAGGAGAATGTGGAATGATCCAGGCTCACACCTCAGCACGGTTTGTGCACCAGCAAAGCAGAGCCTTAGGGAGGCAGATGGGGCAGCTCTGGAGCTCCATCTCCCCCTTCCCTGCCCTCCCTGAGCACCTGAACCTCTCTTACTTCTTTCCCAGGGCCGACATTCCGTAGAGCACGCCGGTGGCGAAGGCGATGGCATTGCCCAGGAGCGTGGTCAGCGTCAGGCTGAGTATGACAGGGAACACGGCCATGCTGCAAGACAGGGGCAGCCCTCAGAGCAGGGCCCCGCTCCCCAGGGGCTGCAGGGGTGTTCTTTCCCCGGGTGTGCCCACCATGAGCCCTCAGGAGCATCCTCACCTGCAGTAGAAAGCTGCTTTCTGCCAGGCCCGCAGCCGGTCGGCCCTGGCGGCCACGGCATTGGCGAACTCGATGAACTGGCAGCAGAAAGGGGCCTCACACAGGAACAGCACGAAGGCGTTGAGCCTCCAGAGAGAGGAAACCAGAGTTAATCCTACTTTTAGGCACCAGAGTTTGGGTCAGCAATGCCCCCCAGGCCCACAGAGAGCAGATATTCCATGCTCCATGCAGGTGGAGGGGATAGTAAGGCCAGGCCCCACTCTGCTCCCCCCTCAGTTCTTGATAATTTCCAAATTTCCCAGTCCTGCTGCCCCAGATTTATTTTGGACAAGGGTATCATGGTATTTACCTAAAATCCCATAAAGAAATAATATAAACAGAATAAACCTAACATCTCAACCTGCCTGGCAATTCCCAGAGCCTGGTAGGTGTTTCACTCCCATCCACTGCCCAAGCAGGGCAGCTTTGCCCCCCTCGGTGGGGTCTGGTTAACAATGTCTCCCTCCCAGCAGGAAAATGAAAATAAAACCTGCTCACATCATCCACACGCCGGCTGCGATGTTCAGGGGGTTGATGGTGACACAGTTCCAGAGACCAGAAATGGCACAGGCTGGAAAGAAAGAGGTTTTCAGTGACCACTATGACCAACCCTGAATGCCCTTGGCCAGCACCTGTGGGCACTGCAGGGCTGCACAGGATGGTGGGTGGAAAGGTCTGGTGGCCCAAAAGGAGCCTGGAATGCAAGGAAGAGCCCTCCTCTAGTCTCCTGTTGCTCTGAGTGCTGTTCCAACAATTATTTCCCTTGTGTAGAGCAACATTTGCCTCCACATGGAGTCCAGGATGTGCACCTGGATTTTATGTACCAAGGTAGACAAACAGTGCCAGCAGGTTCCACCTCTGAGCAGCACAGGGCAAGTTCAGCAGAAACATGGCTTGCACAGAGGAAAATAATAAATACAGCAGAGGTGAACCCAGCTCTGCCACTCACTGCTGGTTCTGTGCAGCTTCACCAGAGATGGGCAGAAAAAAGCCAAGTTGGGGTCTCTGGTAATACAAAAGGAAGTGAATTAAGGCCAAAATAACCCCAGTGCTCCTGGCTCTGTAACTCAGGGAGAGGAACCAGGCAGCAGTGACTGAGCTGAGCTGCACCCACCTCCCTGCTGCCTCATTAAACTTGCAGAGTGTTCCTGGCACCTGATATGGGCCCTTCCCTCTGCCAGGGCTGCAGCTGGCACCAGGAACTCGAGCTCAGCTGGGAGGGCAGGAGACACACCTCAGCAAACATCATCACACTGCAAAACTCCACCTAAAATTGATTCTATAGCCTTTAAATGCTGTCTTGGGGATGATGGAGAGCAGCAGAGCCTCTCTCTGAGGATGAGACCAGCCCTGGATTGAGGATTTTGGGTGTCTGCTGAGGGGATCCCTGAGCAGAGGTGCTGTGAGCAGCCCTGACCTTCAAAAGCCTGGCACATGCTTGCAAGGTTTCTTTTAAGCAGTCGCTGCTGAATCCTCAAGGTTCCTTTAAAAATAGTTATCCTTGTTTACCAGGCTGGGAAGCAGAATTGCAGGCAATGGCAGGACAGATTGAAGGTCATCCCATGAGCAAATGACCTCCTGGTCTTAGGAAATACCAAAAAACATTATTTTTTAACACTTCCTAGAACTAAGCCCACAGGACCCAAAATCTTTTGTAGAGCCCTGCAAGAACAAGATCAGCTAGCAGAGGGGATATTCCAGAGGTTTTGCTAATGTCTGTGCTCCAAGGGCACTTCTCACCCTCCCATGCCACAGGTTCCACTGTCACTGTCCCCAGGGGAAACTGAGGCACAGGGGTGAGGTGATCTGTTCATGGTCACAGGTGCAAACAGCTGGAGAGGAGCAATGGCAAACAGGATTCCAGCAGAGCACAGAGGTTCAGGCAGTTCCCAGCAGGTCTCCACCACACAACAAACCAAGAGAAGCAGAATGTTCTTTTCCAAGCACGTTTTTTTTCCCTAATCAAACCAACCAGGGGTTGCTTTGCCAGGTTTCTGGTTCGGTTTTGTCCCCAAACACTCCAAAACAACCCTGCAGCACCGTGTCCCTGCAACAGTCCTAGCTCAGCCACCAGCCTGGTTGGCAGAGGACTAATGACCCAGGAAACAGAGCTGAGCAAGCCCCACGTCAGCAGGAGCAGCAGGAAAGGAGTCAAAGGTTTGGGATCACAGGAGCACTGTCCCCAGAGCTGCTGCCAACAGCCACAGGACAACTCAGTGACCTTGGGTCTCCTTTGCAGAGCTGCTTGTCCCACACAGCCTGGTACATCCTTGTCCCACCAGGGCAGGAGCTGATCCCACCCCTGCCAAGCCAAAAATTTGTTTTTAAAATGTTTTCTTTTCAAACAGAGGCCTCACAACAGGGTTAAAACACAGATAATGCTCCATGGCACGTAAGCTATGGGAGACAGACAGTTCTGCCATTTGTTTAACTGCTGTCCCATCTCGAATCCCTGAGGAAGCACAAATAACTGGGAGCTAAAATGAGGGGGGAAGGACACCCTTCCCTACAAAGGCTCTATTCATTTCCAGCAGCTGGTCACTGTCCTCAACACAAGCCTATTTTTGCTCCTAGAGTGTTTTACAAAAGCCACAGACTCTCCTCGTCCCATTACAAACAGGAACACAAGGAGAGAAGGGACTTGGCCAAGGTCACCAAGCCAGCATGTGCAGGAGCCAGAAAGGGATCCTGAACCTTGTCTGTCTGGTTCTTGCTCCAGCCCTTGGATTTTTCTGGCTGCAGCAAGCTGTGGCTGCAGGTGTTTGCATGTGGCAGATGTTGTCTGCTGGTCTCACCTCCGCTAACGAAGTTTCTCTTCCTTTCTGAGGGAATTTTTCCTTCTGTAAGAAATAATCCAGCCCTGTAGCAGCATTACAATCCAGTTGCTCACAAAACTTATAAATTAGTTCTGTTCTTTCACAGCGAGCTCTGAGAACAACAGCAAACTCCAGCCTTGCTGGTTTATTCATCACCTCTTCTCCAAACCATCCACCTTCAACAAGGTGGTGCTGAACAAGCAGCATTTTGAAGAGGAGTGTTGGTAGCACAGGGCACTGGTTGTTTTTTCCACAATCCCCCTTTTCCCTGTTCATAAGGAGAGTTTGTGCCTCATTCTCTGCCTGATAAAGAGACAGGGCTCCAGAGCCAGCTGTCACTCCCCAAATCTTTGGCAAACCCTGTTAAGAACCTGGCTCTTCTTCCAAAAGCTTCTCCCAGACTCACCCAAAGACATAAAACTCTCATCTTTCCTGTAAAAACAAGCCATGAGGTCGTAGAGCTGTGAACAAAAGGTTGGAAAAATAATCCAAGTATAATTCAGCTGCTTTGAAACACAAAGACAGAGAGGGAAAAAGAAGAAATTTGCACTTTCAAGCCATTCACGAGCTGCTGTAGCACGAGGCTGGCAGTGCCACCAGCATGACTCACCAGCTCTTCACCCTCCATCCACATCACCCCGAGCTCTGCATGGGATAAAACTGCAGTAACAGTGCTGAGGCTCCTGCTACAGCCACAGCCCGTGGGAAAGAAGCTGCTCCTCTGAACCCCCACCTGGGACCTGTTCCACAGACACTTCCCAGCTGGCTCTCCTGGCTGCTGGCCGGGCCAGGAGCGCGGGGGCCTCCGGCAGGGCACGGGGTGTGCAGAGCAGTCCCACCAAATCCTGTCACACCTCCAGCATTTCAGCACCTAGCACATGGAACGGTGAGAGCAGCACATGTTTCACCAGCCTGGCCAAAAAGGGCTTAGAGTAAACTGCCCAGTGATACCACAGGGTGCAAATGTCAGCCCCAAAAACATGGTGGGGTTGTGCAGCCCAGCCCCAAGGCAAAAGGCAGGCATGGGAAGGGGCAGGCAGGGGAGAGGGTGATCAGACACAAAGCTCCAGCTGATGGAATAAATCAGGGCTGATTGCACTGGCTGAGAAACCTTCTTGTTTAACTTGAAGTCGTGGACCTGAAGCAGGAGAAATTCTCCATCCTGTGCTCTGCAGGAGATCAGACTAAGCGGTCATAACAGTCCCTCCTGCTTTTAAGAGCTATTAATCTCTCCACAGAATGTAGCAAAACAGCACTCCAGGACAGGCTGATTTCTGGCAAACTTGCTGAGACTCTTTCCCTGGGAAAATTTTTTTCAGCAGCAGGTAATTCTGAGCTCAGCCAACTCACTCTGCGTCTGCAGCTCCGTTCTCTGTGTTCTACCAAAGCCCTTAAAAACAAACAGCACAAACCCAAACCATTCTTCACCTTCAGCAAAACCCATGGGCAGGCCTTCTGCAATCAGCAACAGGAGCAATGGGAAACATGCTCTGACAGTCAGGATGGGGGGGGAAAAAACAAGTTGTAGGAACATATAAACACCCAAAATCAAATAGGATAAACCAAACCCTGTGGCCATTCTTCCAGCCCTGACCTGACCCCATGAGCCTGGTGCTCATTGTAAAACCATCTAAATTGCCTGCCAGGCACTAGGCCTCAGCTGCTGCTCCCATCACTGCCAGGGAGTGCCACAGCCAAGAAGAACCTCAGGGATTTACAGATTGCCCTGTGACGTCCTGCTGTG